AATATGTTATGCGATTCACCACACCATGCTTAGGCGCGTGCTTATATGTATGTACATGCATTACATATATTAAATAAAATGTCAAAACGAATGCATGAGCTGAACAAATACTCGTGCCTTCCCCTTTGCCGTGCATCATTTTTGGTTTTGTATGTAAACAAATCTTAATTTGCATCGCCTTTGTATTTAATTGTCTTTGTTTTTATAAACTTTTGGCAAACAAATACCAAAAAAAAAAACACACACACACACACAAATTGCAAATGTTATTGTCTAATTTACACAAACTCACGAAATTAGTATTTTATTAGCAAATGTACATTTTTTGCATTACAATTAATCCCAAACTTAAAAAAAAGAAAGGAAACAATTCAATCAGCAGCAGCTGAAATCAAAACCGTTAAATGGAACAAAGAAGATAGAAAATATATAGCAATACTATATACTTGCAAACATACTTATTTTGTCTAAAAAATGTTTGTTTCTATGTTTCGCATAAATGTTTTGTAATTCTAATTTTAGTAAAAGTAATTATTACATACATATATACATAATGCTTATATTTACAAAATATAATTTAAGTAATTTTAGGTTATTACTATTACATTTATTATTATTATTACTTTTTATTATAAAAGTGAATGCAAATTGACCGATTAAAATAAATCTATACAAATTTATATTACAACATAAAACACTTTGCGTCCATCTATATAAATATGACTTGGATGAGTTGGATTGTATTTAGTGTGTGGCAAAAAAACCCTTATAAAGAAACAAAACAAAAAAAAAAACGTTGGCATTTAGTAAATTGTGGATTGGCTTAAAATAATGAGAAAAAAAGCAGGCTGTAGGCTGGCTAGTTGCTTGGCTGGCCGTCAGCAAGTGAGACATATATATGTGTTGTTGCGAAGTGTAAGTTTATTAATCTTTATTAGACAGTAAATAAGAGTACGCATGTAGAGTAAAAAGCGAAAAAGGCAAAAAACAAAAAACGAAAGAATTTTAATATGAGTAATGTTGAATTGTAGAGAAAAAAAGTATTTTTACATATTTAAAAAATATGTGCATGCGGGTATTTATAATTACATACATAACGTATGAGGTAGTTCATTCGAACTAATTTGCAATTAGATGGAAATGAGTATAATGAGTATGTAAATAGCATAAATTGCACGTTATTGTTTTTGTTTAATTTGAGAATTTTCAATTGTTTTCAAGTATTCATTCGTTTATTTAATTTGATTTCAATTTACTTTGGTTTTTGTTTGAAAACAAAAGCGACAAAACGCAGCGTTTGAAATTGTAAATTCGATTCAATCTAATGTAACCGACAAGAAAAAATACTTCAAATCACTTGCGGGCAGCTTTTGGGATACCGACAGTAAAATCTGGTATGCTTTATCAGGGACGCAGCCGTGGAATTCGGACAATCGCTGCGCTAAATACAACATAAAAAGGAACGTAAGCAATGTGTAATCAGCTAAAGCTGACGGTATGAGCCGTATGTAACTGGATGTTGAATTTTGTTAGGCGCGCATCTGCTGTTCTTTTTGAAGATTTTTGGCGATCAAATTTAGCGATTGCAAATGTTGGAACCCGGCTGCTGGTTCATGTGCATGGATGAGTCCCTCCTTGGTATTCATTGCAGCCTCAGTTATGTATGTTTAGTAGCGGTGATCGAGACTGCACAACGCCGCACTCCAGACGAAATTGGCGAAATTGCGCTTTCAGTACATCTTTAGGATCCAGATCTAGGCAGGGCGACGCAAACGAAAAAATTTCTTTCACCCATTCATTACATTCGACCGTGAAATACGTGGCGGTTGCCAATTAAAAATGCTATAGATATGTCAATTTTTTTACAAACATCTTGAAAAGTGTATTGCTCTTCAATATAGCCACCCTTAGCTCGGAAAGTATCGTCCAATCTGTCCGGGAGTGCTTCACAGGCTGCACGAATGTAGCGGCGAAGAACAATCTTCAACGGGTTGGCTGTTTCACATTTTTTGGCCTCGAGAATGGACCATAAGGAAAATTTGGCGATTGTTGCGAAGAACTGAAGCTTTTTTTTCTAAAGAGCGTTGGATTTCACGAACTGTATGCGATGGTGCCGAGTCTTATTGAAAAGTTCACATATGCAAAACATGAGAAATCGGGAACATAATTTCTTTCATGTCATTTTAGGAATACATATCGATGGCTGAGTGGAAGATCGACCTATCTCGGCAGCCAGTTCGAAAACGCTCTATCTCAAAAAACTTTTCAAGAACGCCCTATTTCAGATTTTAATTGAAAAACACCCTATCTCAAAATTCGGTTCAAAAACGCCCTATCTCACTTCAAAATGTATTGAAAATATGCTGATATAGGGCGTTTTTGAATCGGCAGCTGAGATAGGGCGTTTTTGAAACGAATTCTGAAATAGGGCGTTCTTGAAAAGTTTTTTGAGATAGAGCGTTTTCGAACTGGCTGCCGAAAGAGGTCGATCTTCCACTCAGCCATCGATATGTTCTCATTATTACTCCCAACAGGTACAAAGGTAGGAGTGAAAAAATAGGAGGCGCGATAGCGATAGAAATAATTAATTTCGTTTTCAAGTCCCAATTTTGTATAAAAAAAAAATAAATGAATTATTAAAAAGAATAAAGTTTTTACAAATATCGTCTGAAGCAATAATAAAGCGATATGAAAACGACTCATTCAGGTAATAAGAAAACGACTCGCCCAGGCGGCAATAAATTTGTTGCCGAGGGCGAGACGTTTTCTTATTGCCGTCAACAAAATTGTTTGGTGGGAATTATAGCATTTTTAATTGTGGAGACAAGTTTTTCAGAACAGGTATAAATGTTGTTACACTTACAAAAAAAAAATCCCCAAGGGGAATGCTGCAGGAGGTAGAGCTGCACAACCATCGTTAGAACATCAATATTCAGTCTCATTGCGAGAGTCGTGTCGAATGCAAGTCGTATTTCGAGAGTCGAATCGTATCGAAAATTTGATGTCATTAAAACGGAATAAAACTGGCAGCACTGCATAGTTTTCGACGATTTTCGTCGTTTGCTTATTTCAGCACGACAATGGACAATGAATAAATGTTGAATGACTTTTCTGTCAGAGTATCGATAGTGCCAAAAAAATAATCGATAGTGGCGGAAAATAGATAGTCTGTTCCTTTGTGCTTCGGACTAAAACCTTTGGAACTGTCAAACCACAATATTATTCTCTTAAGTGGGAGGATCGGGGAGGCAACTACAAATGTGTACTCATATAAAGTCAAAAGTTTCCAAGTAATAAGACAAAATATCACAGACGATCTTCGAAAGTGACACAATTCCATTTTATCATTTTTGAAATTAAGCGCTAAAAATGTGCACGGAGCTTTTATTTACATTTCAGCAACAGATGGAGCAAATATTTGTTACAATTTGCTAAAAAAGAAACCTATGGTAAACTCTTTCTTCGAATCTTTCTCTGCG